AGTCTCCTGCCTCTGCCTCCCAAGTAGCTGGGACCACAGGCACCTGCCACAGCGCCCAGCTATTTTTTGGTTGTAGCTGTTATTGTTGTTTGGCAGGCCCAGGTTGGATTCGAACCCGCCACCTTAGGTGTATGGGGCTGGTGCCTTAGCCACTTGAGCCACAGGTGCTGAGCCAACAAAATTTCAGTAGAAAAAAGAAAGTGGATTTAGAGAAAATCCACATCATGGTTTGGAAAACAAACCAAAATTACGGCAAAGGAATGGATTGTTGAAGGATTTGGGAATGTGTAGCCTGGTAGACAAGACCTAGGAAAGACACAGACTTATTAAATGCTAGAGCTAGAAAGAAACTTAGAGAATATCTAAGGAATTTTTTTATTAGACAGGAAGTTGTATAAAATAATCCCTAGAGCTCTAGTATCTTGCAAAGTTCTTCTATTTGCAGTTCTGATTGATAGAAAAGGAAATTCTTGTTAATTTATCTTTTACATTTCCAAATAACAATAGTATTCTAGTTCAGAATTTCAAATTCAGATACTATGTTTCTATGTCTTTGATAAAATCAGTACTTAAAAAAGTATTGTTTCTCCTGTTCAGTATTCTTCATTCATCATTCATGAAGTCATCAAACAAAATCCAGATACAGACTTGGGTGCTACTTTTTGTTGGGAAATTGGAGTTACTACAACTTCCTTTTTGCCAGGGAACTTAGAGTAAAATATGTTCCTCATCTTAAGTAAATGACTCAAGCCAGTGCTTGGTATAACTATTTTCCCTTCCTTTTTTTTTTTTTTTTTTTTTTTTGGAGACAGTCTCAAGCTGTCGCCCTGGGTTGAGTGCCATGGTGTCACAGCTCACAGCAACCTCAAACTCTTGGGCTTAAGTGATTCTCTTGCCTCAGCCTCTCAAGTAGCTGGGACTACAGGCACCCACCACAACGCCCAGCTATTTTTTGGTTTTAGTTGTCATTATTGTTTGGCAGGCCCGGGCTGGGTTTGAACCCACCAGCTCTGGTGTATATGGCTGGTGACTTAGCTGCTGAACTACAGGTGCCGAGCCAGAATTTTTTTTTTTTTTTTGAGACGGAGTCTCAAGCTCTCACCCTAGGTTGAGTGCTGTAGCGTCATAGCTCACAGCAACCTCAGACTCTTGGGCTTAAGTGATTCTCTTGCCTCAACCTCCCAAGTATCTGCAACTATAGGCACCCACCACAACACCCAGCTATTTTTTGGTTGTAGTTGTCACTGTTGTTTGGCAGGCCTGGGCTGGGTTTGAACCTACCAGCTCTGGGGTATGTGGCTGGTAACTTAGCTGCTGAGCTATAGGTGTCAAGCCAGAAATTATTATTATTTTTTTTTTTTTGAGACAGAGTCTCAAACTGTCATCCTGGTTAGAGTGCAGTGGTGTCACAGCTCACAGCAACCTCAAACTCTTGGGCTTAAGTGATTCTCTTGCCTAAGCCTCCCAAGTAGCTGGGATTACAGGCACTCACCACAATGCCTGGCTATTTTTTTTTCTTTTTGGTTGCAGTTGTCATTGTTGTTTAGCTTGCCTGGGCCAGGTTCAAACCTGCCACCCTTGGTCATGTTGCTGGCACCATAATCACTGTGCTACAGGCGCCAAGCCCCTACTTTTTAGTTGACACATTTTTTGAAAATTGTGGGCTTGGCGCCTGTGGCTCAAGTGGCTGAGACGCCAGCCACATACACCCAAGGTGGCGGAATCAAATCCAGCCCAGGCCCGCCAAACAACAATGATGGCTGCAACCAAAAAATAGCCAGGCATTGTGGTAGATGCCTGTGGTCCCAGATACTCAGGAGGCAGAGGCAGGAGACTCACTTGAGCCCAGGAGTTGGTGGTTGTTGTGAGCTGTGATGCCATGGCACTCTACCCAGGGGGACAGCTTGAGGCTCTGTCTCAAAAAAAAAGAAAATTGTGAAAGGAGCATGTGCTATAGTTAAAACAAACTGAACAGTACGATTCCAAATGTGCAGCGTTTAGGGCGCTGGCCACATGCACTCAATTGCCACTGGAAACCTGGAAAATACCTCACAAACATAGCCTCCTTATCTGCTGGATTCTGTTGCTCTCCTTACTTCCTCAAGTGTATAAAATGAACGAATAAGGAGTTTTTTGTTAGAGTTGGGTATTTTCATTTTTAAAAACTCTGACACTGATTTTAAAGGATTCTGTTTCAAGAACCTTAAATAGTAGATGGATACTTTACTCTCTCCATGGTTATACTACATTCCATCTTTCATTTGGTCTTACACATGGGAAAATAAGGTTTTACTTGCAGCTTTCAGCTGAGCTACAGGCCAGCGTATTGCAGGTAGAAGTTGAAGTCCTAGAACTGGGTTCTGGGCAATCCACTGGGCTCTATATGCAAAGGTTTCCTTTAACATAAAACACAAAGAAGACAGAGCCTAGATTACAGGTAGAAAAATACAAACTTCTCATTGAAATCACCCATTTGTGGTGACTTGATATGAGGAGAAGTTCCACTGGATGAGAAAAGTAGAAGCTTTTCATCCAGCTGAGTTTTTTCTCTGAGCAGGAAGTTCTGTTGTAAAGTATGAACACAATCTCATTAGAAATAGAGTCAGCAGCAGGCTCTGAAAGATTGACCTTTGATTTACTTTTGCCAAACAACATACCCAACCATTTATCCCATTGCATATGAGGTTGGATTAATGTTTCTAAGATACTTCTGATGTGTCACTCACAAATTTTCAGGGGCCACTGGATCAGGTTTATTCAAGGCCTTTCAAATTTTGCTCCAGACCTTTATATTTCTAACATCATTTTCTAGGGTTTCCAGCTGTACCAACCCGGTCTCCTTTTCTACAAGCCTAGATAGATAGCTCTCCCCACCTTTTCCCAGTTTGTTACAGTCCCTTGGATGGTCAATTTATAGAGGTTCTATTGTAGGTTTTTTCTTTTTTATGGAGACAGACTCACTCTGATACCCAAGTTCAAGCACAGTGGCCCAATCATAGCTCACTGTAACCTTGAACTCAGGACCTCAAGTGGTTCTCCTGCCTTAGCCTCCGCGGTAGTTGGGATTAAAGACACACAACACCATGTGTAGCTAATTTTTCTTACTTTTTTTTTGTCTCAGTATGTTGCCTAGGCTGAGTAGTCCCAACTATGGGAGGCTGAGGTAGGAGGATTGCTTGAGCCCAGGAGTTTGAGGTTGCTGTGAGCTAGGTTGACACCACTGTACTCTAGCCTTGGCAAAATAGTGAGACTATTCCTCAAAAAAAAAAAAAATGCTGGGTGCAGTGGCTTGTGCCTATAATCCTAGCACTCTGGGAGGCCATTGCTGGTAGATAACTTGAGCTAACGAGTTCATGACCAGCTTGAGCAAAAGCGAGACCCTGTCTCTACTAAAAAATAGAAAAACTGAAGCAAGAGGATCACTTGAGCCCAAGAGTTGAACGTTGCATGGCATTCTGCCCAGAGTGACAGCTTGAGACTGTCTCAAAAAAAAAAAAAAAAAAGCAAGAAAAAGAAAAGAAAAGAGGATGCAAATTTGCCACTTTGGGACTAAAAGAAAGATATCGTTTCCTGGAGCATTCCTTCTGGTCTGCTGTGAGGCTTTTGTATCTGTGCTATGTAGTTCAACCTTCTTCTGCCATCCTTTCAGGGTGCCAGTCTCCTGGCATTTAGGATTGGACGGTCACTTTATCTTTCACTGTGCCTTTCAGGGCCCTATTTGATTATGATCGGACTCGGGACAGCTGCCTGCCAAGCCAGGGGCTCAGCTTCTCCTATGGTGATATTCTGCATGTCATTAATGCCTCTGATGATGAGTGGTGGCAGGCAAGGCTGGTGACCCCACATGGAGAAAGTGAGCAGATTGGTGTGATCCCCAGTAAGAAGAGGTGAGTTGTCATGACCATGTGCAAGGCCTTTCATGCCCTCCTGCTTTTCACTCATGATTTTTACTCAACGAGCCCAAAAGTGGCTGTTGTGCCTATTACAACCTGTGGCTGAGACTATATTCTGGTGGTAACACAGCTTCTTTCTGACTCCAAAACAGGGTGGAAAAGAAAGAAAGAGCTCGATTAAAAACTGTGAAGTTCCATGCCAGGACGGGGATGATTGAGTCTAACAGGGTAAGTGGGAACCCCCAAGGAAGTCAGCTTATATGTGAAGAGAGGCCAAAGGCTTGGAGTTTGGTCTGATGTATGAGAAAAGTGGGGAGCATGAAAGAAAATCTCTTTTTCAGGAGTCTGGCTCTGTCCTTTCAGAACACTGACTGCTTTTCAGAAAGCAGAGAGGGAGCACTTAGAGTCCATGGCTAGTCTATGCTCCTTCCCCCTGGATACTGGCTCTTGAAGATGTGTTGGAGTTGGACTATCTGGAAGGTTGACTTGCTCAGGGAATAGCAAACCACTCATGAGTGTCTCCCTGGCTGTAGACCCTGTTGGAGTTGTGGGGACCCTGACCAGCATCTTTCCCCATCATCCAGCCAAGAAGACCAGCCCCAGAGATCCCACTTCCCTTAGACCACCTGAGGCAGGAGGGCTATCCATTCACCCCTTTTCTTCTATGAGCTTTACAGGCCAAAGAACTTCCGGAGCAGTAGAGGGAAGAGAGACATGGAGTAGATGACTCTGTATATCAATGGCACCTTAGGGCATGTATCCAGGAGGCTACAATGACCTTTGTTCTTTAGGAAGTGCCAGTGAGTGTTATGACTCTGGATTAGGTAGAAACCTCTAACATCCCTACAACATTTTCCTGTAAACATAATTTTCCTCTTACATCAACTTTCATTTAATCTCTTAGACTCCATTTGTGAGAGATGGTCTTTTATTTAGCTCACCATTGTCTCCATTTTAGTTTTCTTGCATGCTTTAAAATCCATTGTTCTGTTTTTTTTTTCTTCTGTCCTTCCCCTCCATCTTCATGTTCTTTCACAGTCGATCAAAACGAAACGTAAAAAGAGTTTCCGCCTCTCTCGAAAGTTTCCATTTTACAAGAGCAAAGAAAACTTGGCCCAGGAGAGCAGCATACAGGAACGTAAGTAGCAGCAGAGTCCAGAGAGCAGACCATCTGCAGCCCTGTCCTTTTGTCCTCAGTTGCATCCTCCCTTAGGAGGAATTTGGGCAAGGGCATGTGTAGCCCTGTCTATGCCCATGCACACATGCACCTGCTTATTTGCAGAGTCAGGGCACAAATTGGTCTGCACTGGGAGATACGGGGTCTTAAGTTGTCCAGCTCCTCACTTGGAATGAATGTTGGAGGTGCTAATATGGGACAGGTACAGGTCCCAGAGCCAGCGTCCAGGAAGTATGTGGCACTGGCATTGGTAGTGCCAGATGGAACTCTGCTATGGTGGTGAAAAGCGGTTTTCAGCCATTGTCAGGTTTAGAAAAATGATTTTTAAAATAAACATGATCCAGGACTCAGTGATGCTCTCCTGGCTTCTTCCTCTTGTGTTTTCTTTCCCTTAATTTCACTCATCTGTGTCAAGAGAAGAGTCTTTTTTTCCCAGGATCCCTGGAGTTGGGGCTACTTCTGAAATCCCACGCACATACATAAATGCACAGGTTATCCACATGACTCTCAGCAGAGTCACTGTCATAACAGAGTGCCTACAGAGCCAGTTTTCACAAGAAAATCTTTCTCATTTAAATGAGTTGACATGGAAGGGATATTGTTCAACATTGTCTAAATAAAGATTTATTGAGAAACAGAGAGCTGGTTTGGCAGAAAGTTATAATGCTGAGCTCAATTAACTTTAAAAGCCAAATTCTGATAAATCTTCTTGCTGTATCATATGCCTCAGAAGTTAATTGCTGTGACCTTAACCTTAAACACCAGATCTGGCTTAAAAAATATTTTCTTGGGGCCAGGTGCAGTGGCTCATGCCTATAATCCTAGCACTCTGGGAAACCAAGGTGGGTAGATGACTTGAGCTCATAAGTTCAAGACCAGCCTGAGCAACAGTGAGACCCTGTCTCAAAAAATAGAACCAGGTATTGTGATGGGCACCTATAGTCCCATCTACTTGGGAGGCTGGGGCAAGAGGATCACTTGAGCCCAAGAGTTTGAGGTTTCTGTGAGCTGTGGGGCCATGGCACTCAATTGGGGCAACAAAGGGAGACTATCTCAAAAAAAGAAAAAAAAGAAAGAAAAATATTTTCTCATCATCATGAATTGTAAACATTTTTCATTTACCAGTGACTCCTGGTGACCATGGAGGTATCTTGGGTCCTGAGCTGTTGGAACCGGCAGGAGACTGACTAGTTCTAATAGGAAATGTTATTTTTTTAAGGCCAGGTTCTGTTTGTGGTTATGGTATGTGTAGGTCATTGCTATCTAGGGTGGTATGTAGTAGATAAAAGGATGCCCTTGTCCATATGAAGGCCATAGATCTTTATCCTGGGATAGGTAGCTCAGTAAGAAACAATAGAAGAGGCTTGGCATCTATGGCTCAAGTGGCTAAGGCGCCAGCCACATACACCTAAGGTGGCAGGTTCGAATCTAGGCAGGTTCGAAACCCGCCAAACAACAATGACGGCTGCAACCAAAAAATAGCCGGGCGTTGTGGCGGGCGCCTGTGGTCCCAGCTACTTGGGAGGCTGAGGCAGGAGACTCGCTTGAGCCCAGGAGTTGGAGGTTGCTGTGAGCTGTGATGCCACAGCACTCTACCCAGGGGGACAGCTTGAGGCTCTGTCTCAAAAAAAAAAAAAGAAAGAAAGAAACAATAGAAGTTGGTTCTGCTCACGAAAGTAGGAGACAGTCTGAGACAGAGCCTGAGGCCGTACCACCAGTTCATCAAATCAGTCCCAGAAGGTCCATTCTGAGCCCAGACTGGGGAGGTATCCACTGCCTGGGGGAGGAGTATCCATTGGATTATGGAGTCATAAGTGCTCTGATGCTTATTCTCCAGCAGTTGAGCTCACCATCCCCTAAGATCTGACAATTCAGGGCAGCTTTAGAGGCTACACCCCAGACAGTATGAAGCTTTCCTTAAAGAGTTTAGGCAGAATGAGTCAGTATTGAGTGCAAGTTCCTTGGGGTGATGGTAATTCTGTCTGCCTATCTGGCACACATGGACATTTGTTTTCTCATGTACCTACAGAGGGAAGCAGTGATTTCAGGGGCAAAGCAGAGGCCTGGGATCTACAACTACAAATTTGGTCAAAGCAGGTGCTCCAAGCCTTGGAATATCACCTGTCCTGTCCTATGCCCTCAGAAAGCTAGTTCACTCCAAGGCCCTCTGGCAACAAATTTGGGTAGCCTGAAGTCCAGATCTCTTACCTGATCAGGATATTGTTCTTTCTGTAGCAAAGTTCTTGATCTCATTGAAGTTATAGGTCTTCATAATATTTCACACTCTCACTAGTGCTCACCTGCCTCTGTATTCTTCCTTCCCCTTGTCTTTTTTTCTGTATTTTTTCTTTTCTCCCTAATTCTCTCCCTCCCTTCCCTCCCCCTTCCCTCCCCTTCCCTCCCTCCCCTTCTCTCTGACCTTGCTGTCTGTGAAATCAGGACTTCCCAGGGTTAAGTGACGATTATTATGGAGCAAAGAACCTGAGTAAGTCAAACTTACACACCATTAACTATATTTGTGGCATGAGTAGAGGTAGTGGGGGTGGGCTATAGGGGACATGGGTGAGGATGAAGGGGGAGAGGAGGGTGGTGTTTGTGAGAACTCTTGACACCACAGCAAGAGGAAGTACGTGTGGTTCTAAATGTCACACATTTGCTCTGGATCCCTGGCACCCTAATAAATCCCTATCATTCATGTCTGTGTTTTCCTTTTGCCCCTTGAAGTAAGAGGGCATGAGTTTGATGTCCCACTAAGAAGTAAGGTGGACCGGAAATGCTTCTCCAGGGTGACCACTCAGCTAATCTCTAGGGTGCCTGCCGGTTGGATTCCTCTCCCAGTGACACACTAAAGAATTGAGTATAGGAATTACAGCTCTTAAAGTCCTTCTAACCATTTTACCCACCCTCTATCTAAGTGTCACAGCAGATCCAGGGCCTTAGCAAATAGCAGGGGCTAGCTTCCCACAGAGTATCTCTAAAGAGCTGAGCTGGTCTGGTGGGAGTGTCAGGACCATTTATGGACCATAGATAGCTAGTGCTTTATCTTAAGAAAAGTCTGACCTTATTTTATATTCTGGAAAATAATCTTAGAGTTGAAAATGTAAAGGACCTAGATGATGCAGCCTTAGCAGCCATCCCTGCTGTGTGCAGAGGTGCATGGACACACGCCATGACGGGTGGGTTCTGTCAGCGTGTACTGTCCTTCAATAAATCATAAAGGCTAAAGGCAAAAGAGCTGCCATCAGGAATTGTTCAGGAACTAGCCATGCATGGCAACTCAGTCAGCTCTTCCTGAGGGGGCCACAGCATATCATGGTCTGGAACAGTGTGGTCTTGGCTGAAACAAGCAGTGTCTCTCTCCATAGTTTGGTGTGTTCATGTCTCATCTTCATTCACCTGTCTTGGTGGGAGGGGTGGACTTTGTTTGTACCTCCTGTGAACACTGCTTCTCTGTTTGAATTTTTTCCATCCATGTTCAGAGATGGGTATGTTCCAGATGTCTGAGATAGGAAGGCTGTCTTGTCCTCAAGGTGTTTGTGTTGTCTGTCTGTTTTGATATACATGTCTGCCTTGTGGTGGATGGAGGTGCTTCCTCCCTCACTGCTGAAGCCAAGCCTTCCTTCTCTGGAGTAGTGGCAAGAGCTGGGTATTCCACAGAATGGGCAGAGCAGTGCTCCCTGGTGCCTGCTTACCCTATCCAGCTTAGCTCTTTGCTTCTGGAGTGCTACATGAGTGTATGTTCGGGGGCTCTGTCTGGGAAAGAAATTCATGAGCAGCTTGGTATGTGGATTTCTCTTTGCTCCTGTCACTGCCTTTTCTTTCCTGTAGTTAGTCTTGGGAGATGAATTTTGAGATAGAATTGGGAAAACATCCAAGTCAATTCATTTGATTGAGATGAAGAAGATGCTGCTGAAGGAAGTAAAGCTTATCGTGCACAGAGAGGGATGTGGCAGACCAAGAGGGCTCTGGGGATAAGTATGACATAGCCAGGGACTTGAAATTGGAGCTGTGCCTCCCAGTTGGTAGCCTGGATATGGAAGGCCTCCTGTGGCCCAACTTGGTTAGCGTCAGCGTCTGGCTTCTGGAGCATTTAAGTTTTGTGCTGCATGTGACCTCTCAGTTGTGTGTTCTGAATTGGAGTCTCTTTCTTGTTGGCTTGCAGAGGGAGTGACATCCAACACCAGTGACAGCGAAAGCAGTTCCAGTAAGTGTGTGTCATTTCCCCCATGTTGTGCAGCTCTACCTTGTGTCCCAGTCATCCTCATTCCAGTGTTGCATGGCTGCCATTTCTGCTTGGAGGCTGGTGCTTCTTTTAGCCATGTACACTTTGAGATCCTGGAAATGCTGTGGCCGATTCATTCTCCTTATGGGGTAGAGTTTGCCCCATGGATTAGAGGAGAGTATAAGCCCTGTAGTTCTGGCCAGTGCCTCACATAAAAACATCCTTGGGACCTGGAAAGGGTGAACTACCAAAGAGACCAAATAGTCAATCACTGCCATGGGCACTGGGCTATAGGTGCTTCCAGGTTTACAGAGTTGCTCACAGACTAAAAGAAAAAATGGTTCCATGGGATATTATTCTGAATTTGACTTTCCAGGTTGCTAGGACCTCCTTATCTTTTGGGCTAGTTAACTGATCAGGTAATTACCCAGTTTTCCTTGGGAAGTCCTGTGACCAGACCAGAGGAACCACAGTTCAGACCTCGTGGACTGTGGTGGCTAGAGGCCTTATAAATCTGCCCAAAAGTCTTGGGCTCAGAAGAAGCCTTTTAGTGAGCATCCTGTAGCTCGATGCGAATGTAGCTTGATGCGAATATCACTGCCTTCCCTAGGACTGTTGTCAGCTACTTTTGGACCAATAAGCATCCAGCACCAAGTGGCTTGGTTATCAATTTAGGAAAACCTAATCCTTACTAGGTTATGTGGTATTCCACCATGAGGGAAGTACAGACTCAGCCTTGCTCTTAAAGGAAACTGGGGACCTTAACCCAGCCATGCAACACTTTTTTTTAGATGTTTTTCCCATGGAGAGGAGGGTGGGTAGACCCATAAAAGGGCAAAGTTAGGCTGTAGCTTTGGAGACCTGTGTGAGTGCCCTGACTTCCCTGCCTACAGGTGAAAGGACTCACAAGTGTGTCTCAACCAGTTGAAGCATTGCGGTCATTCTTAACAGAGCAAGGGGACTGATGAACATAGCTAATTGTTACCTATAAGAGCAGTTTATCAGAAATTGGGGTGGGCTTTTATATACGCTTAATGGCTTCTGGGACTTGGCCCTTTGCTCACTGAACAAGAGAACTGCTGACTCCTGTCCTAGGGCCAGTGAAAGGATTCCTGTGCTTTCTTACCAATCGAAAGCCGACAGGACCATAGGGCAGGCAGTAGCAAGTGCAACTTGATAAGGCTGTTTCCCAGCAGGGGTAGGAGTGTAGTGAATGTTGAACACAGGGAAAAAGATCATACAGTGCTAACCTATCCCTTTTTTGTTGCAGAAGGACAAGAGGATGCTATTTTGTCATATGAGCCTGTGACACGGCAAGAAAGTAAGCCCCCTTCTGAGAGTCTTGCCTTCATGCTAGTTTCCTGGTCATGGGGCTCAATGCAGTGGGTGGCTGTGGCAACAGAGGAAGGGACATGCAGGAGAAGGAAGGCTTAACTCACGGTACATCCAGACCCTGGGTTCCTCCTCCTCCTCCTCCTCCTCCTACTCCTTCTAAGTATCATAGGGAAAGGGGAGGCCATGCAGTATTCACCTCTCTGCCTTTGTCTGCTGCCAATATGTCTTCCAAAGAAGAGGTATATTTCAGTGGGTATAGCCACTGCTGACAGGTCCCAGTGCCTCCTATCAGTGGCTGTTTTGCAAAAACCTTGCTCAGCCACTGGTATCAGTGCATCTGGTATATCTGCTCAGCTACTGGTGTCCTGAATCTGTCTGGAGATGCTTCTGCTTTCAGACTTGCCTTGGACTTAGGTATTCTCAAATTAAAGACTCTTTGATGTCTTTGTAGTTAAAAGCCAGATTGGATGCAAACGCTTCAGCCTGAGTCTGGGCTGCAGAGCCTCTGTGTTCTAGCCAGACTCATAGGTAGGACATCTGTCTGGTAGGGGCCTCTGTTCACTGTCTTGATGCTCTCCCTTTCTAGTTCACTATGCAAGGCCTGTGATCATCCTGGGCCCAATGAAGGACCGAGTCAACGATGACCTGATATCTGAGTTCCCACATAAATTTGGATCCTGTGTGCCACGTAAGAGCTCAGGAAGGCCCAAGGGAGTGAAGCTAGGTGCCCTTAGAGTTGCTGCTCTCATGTTTTATGGAAAGGGCCTGGGATCACATGCTAAGGCTGTTTGGGGACAGGGAATTTCTAACACCCTAGAAAAGAGTAAGTGGCAATAAATTCCTCAAAAACTGATGGAGTTAAAAGGACAAAGACATCAGGCTGGGCTGCTTGCTTCCTTAGAGGGAAATGTCTGAATGGTGATTGTTGGGAATGATTGGTGGTGTCGATATGACACAATGAACCTAACAATGAACAATTTGTTAGGTTCACTGACTCCTGTACCAAGTTTGGCACTATCTGCCAGGTCTTGGCTCAGGAAACCCTACGTTTCCGGTCCAGTTTAAGCTAAAGCTGCCTGTGCATGAGACCTAGAGGCTGGAAGAAAAGTAAGAAACATAAACTCCTTCCCAATAGCTTTTTCCCCCAACTCATCTGAAAAAATTACAGTATCCCTATGACTCACCCAGGTGAGACAGGACCAAATCAGCTTTTTTTTTTTTTTT